TTACTTTCTTGGGCAATCTAATGTTAACAGCTAAGTGAAGAGCAATGTAAATATTTTATAACGTCCAATGAATTACGAGTGCCAGTTTATTTTTACCGTTTTATATTATTCCAATGAACGTTCCAATATTGAGGTAAGAACAAAGCGGACAGAACGTTTCATACTTAACAGTACTTTATTGTTGACATTATTACACGTTATTATAAATCTATCATCTTGACACGTATAATACTTACTAAATCTACGGAGACAGGTGTAACGGTAACCTATAACTAAACATACAGTACGGCATCGGTACTTACTTTAGTAAAGGAACAAACAGACGTATCGCTTTTTTTTTACATTGTGTACTGTAATAGCTTTCCAAATTCTGCTAATATTTTCTGGGACCTCTAGTTTTGATTTTTGCTTTTAATAAATAAATTTCGTGGACTTGAAATATAAGAATTTTTCTTCGTGTCCAAAGTGGCAGGTTTCACGAAAGCTTAAAATTCTCATGAAGCATTGCCAAGTGGTTTTGCTATCATTTTGGGTCAGTCAACGCAAGACCATAATTTATTTCCTTGATTAACTTTGAACTCTTATCGGGAAGATTGAATTCTACCCTCGGGAAATAATAATGCGGGAATTAAAAAATCGTAGGATTGACACGAGTGACCTAAGGCTCTGTTGTAGGATGATTCTGATGGAACCTGGGACCTATCGTTGTCACGATCACTGGTACACCCCTTTAATCGTCCGTCAAGTGTGTGTGCATTCGGAATGTAATATATCCTGGCAGACACGTGCCGGCCACGTGCCGCCAAGTGTTTGTTTCGGTTTGCATTGTCGCCACGGATACATGGCACGGATGGTGTGGCATCGCGTTCTTCAGAGAAACGAGAGAGAGAGAGAGAGAGGGGGGGTGGGGGCAGAGAGGCTCGTCCCTTTCATAATTCCACGCTCGTTCGAGTAAATAACGCGGGCGGCAGTCGACAATTAGGACGATGGGAAAGAGATTCGTTAAACGGCGGGACTAATAGCGAATCGATACCTGCTGCGACTCTCCTTTCAATGTCTCTCCCCCGTCTAACTTGGAAACGAGAAAACAATTGTGACAAATGACGAAACTTGTTTTTAACGAATCTCGATAGGCAAATAGAATTAACATAATGTTGTCGTGCCTGATAGTGCGAATGAATAACAAGTCAGTTTCCTGTATTGTTCTCAAAAGATTATCGTTCCTCTCGTTCACGCCTCTATTTCTCATATAAATACAGTTT